ATCATCATCATCATTATCATAATTATTACTCATATCATCTTATATTATCGTATATTGACTGTAATATTAATCATTCATCATCATCATAATTATTACTCATATCATTTATATATATATTGACTGTAATATTAATCATCATCATCATCATCATTAGCATCAGCCCTGGTATCAGTACAAGAATTACAATTACCATCAGTATCATAATCATCACCATTACTGTCTAAATATACCCCCCCCCCCCCCCCCTTAGAAATAATAATAATAGCAAAAAAACAACGGAACACTCCCCCCTTTGAAATATAATAATAATAAAAACAAAACAAACTTTTACGGAACACGCTTATGAACACAAATAAAGAACAACTTGACCCATGTTAACAGAACAGGACAAGTTTTCCTACCAAGTTATGAAGAGAGAGGAACAGAAAGGAACTTAACCCGACGTGAACACTGACCAGATTATAACAGAGAAGAACGAGAAAAAATACCTGAACGGGGCCAAAAAATAGAGGAATAAACAAATGGTTTGGTAAATAGGTAGATAAATGGAAGTGGAAAGGAATCAGTGATAATAGAACATGAAATAAGAAAAAAGAGCGAAAAGAAAAGAAAAAGACAAATAACAATAAGAAGCCAGAAAATAAAAACACCACAAAGGAGTCAAGAAACAAACGAATAAATAAACAAATCCAAACATAAAAAAAAAAAAAAAAAAAAAATACAAAACTAAAAAAGAAAATAAATGAATAACAAGACAGAAGCAAACCAAAAAAGCAGAACACCCAGAAAACACAAACAAGCGCCTTAAAACCCCTCAGAGGAGCGCCCCCAAACACCTATTCCTTGAGGAGCGCCCCCGAACACCTATTCCTTGAGGAGCGCCCCCAAGCACCTATTCCTTGAGGAGCGCCCCCAAGCACCTATTCCTTGAGGAGCGCCCCCAAACCCTATTCCTTACCTATTCCTTGAGGAGCGCCCCGAACACCTATTCCTTGAGGAGCGCCCCCGCCCGCCGCCACCCTGGCCGAGGGGGAGATGTACATGAGCAGCCGGGCCAACCTCGACTACTGGTCCACTGACAACTGCTGCGTCTTCGTGTCCCTTCGTCGGGGAACCATCTTCATTGGGGGTCTGTCTGTGGTGAGTGGGGAGCCTGTGTCCTTCTGTTATCATTCTGTTATCATTGATTCATTTCCATTTCCAGTGTGGAGCCTGTGTCGTTCTGTTATCATTCTGTTATCATTGATTCATTTCCATTTCCAGTTTGGAGCCTGTGTCCTTCTGTTATCATTCTGTTATCATTGATTCATTTCCATTTACCAGTTATCTAGCTATTTACTAAGGTATGTGTCATAGGGGTTGTTCTTATTACTATGTGTTGTCCTGGTTGGGAAATTCGTCTTCTTATTTCTATTGCTGTCAGAGTCGTATGTGTCATATGTGTTACTATCATTCCTATGTATCTTCCTGATTCCTAATTCGTCCCTACTTCCATTACTATTTTTATTCATATGGTGATAAGCCCAATTTCTTTTCCTATGGTCATGTGTCAACTTTTTTATTTATGTTTCAAGCCCAAGTCTTATAATCATCCTTATTCTTATGGTCATAAGATCCATCCTTATTCCTCCGTGTCATCCTTATGGTATGTGCACGTTAGGGATATTACTTCACATGGCTATGCTTGCAGTTGAGTTGCATTTTAGCTTTATGATCCAAGTCTAAATTTTCAGGAACCTAAGCTGAGCTAAGGTTCTTTATTGTGTATTTTCCAGTTTCAATCTTATTTCAATTTGTTTCAACCTTATTCGTGGATTCTCTGTCGTACCAGAAACCAGTACTTTCCCCATATGTAGACTCTATAGTGAATTTGCATCATTAGTTAAGTCAACCATTGTTATCAGTGCAGCAGACCACCTTAACTCTCCCTATATTTACACACTGAGCTCACAAGTCATGCTCTCTAACAAACGTGACTATTGTCTCTTTCTCATAACACCAAGTTCATTATTTTTAAGGTCGTTTGTAGAAAAAAACTCATTTATTGCAATAACTTTTTATCATCAGGTTTACACAAATTTGTTTACATTAGTGTGCAGGTTCCATTCACACTTTATCTTTATTATTCATCTTTATCAAAACTTTCCCATCTGAACCCCGTATAACACAACACGGCATGACAGTACACAGCATACCATGCCACTGACACGCTAAATATGACATGACACCGAAGGAATGTTCTTACCCGTCAGATAGTCATAACAGACTCGAAATCGCTTAAGACGGAAACCATTTTCTAAAAGCAGTTCACATATGGAACTCATAGATACAAACAGAAAATTATTAAAGAAGGGACCAAATACCGTCGAATAATTATATGTACTTATGTCATGAATGTAGTAGTTTAAAGGGATCTACGTTGTCTACCGCCTCTCTCTGTCTAGGCAATGGTTAAGTGATGTGTGTTATAGGTTTGACATGCAGGAATATCATCTGGAGGTTAGAATAAGGCTGAAAGTGGCGTAAAATGACATATCACAGCATGGAACAAACACGTTATATAACCTTACTTAACAAACACTTTATATAACCTTACTTAACCTGTTAAACAAAACTGTCCTAACTGTCGTAACATTGTCTAACATTGGAAAGTTATGCAGGTGATCAACAACTACAAGCACTAAATAAACCCTATAAAAGTCTATCCTAGTCTTCCCTAATCCAACCTAATCTATCGCTATGTCCGTGTGTGTGTGATTGTGTGTGCATGTGCGTGTTTCTCTACGAGTGTGTTTTTGTCTGTTTTATTGTATATCTTCGTTTCTGTATCCCTATTGTGCTCATAGGATTCTCCGTTGACGTGTCTCTCCATTTATATACTAAGCCCAAATATTTGTAATTTCGTAAAAATAAACAAATTTATTTTTTACTCGAATTTCGCATGAACATGACAAAACTTACCCAAAACCTTAATAAACCAGGTACTTCGGTTTGAATTTGTATTTAACAGGTTTCGTATATATCTTCATTAGAAATACATATTCCTGATAAATATACCTTCGAAATCGGTTAAATACTTCTCTTGTATAGTGAAAATATCCATTCTCATTCATACCCCTTCATGTAAATAGCTGTCAATAGTTTTATAAGCCTCAAAAACATAAACAATAACCAATTCAAAACCATTAAAACAACAAGAAAGAAAAACCAGTGCTCTTTACCCTACCCACCAAATACAATGTAAACAAAGGCAGATCCCAAACGCGTGTTAAAGCTATCTTGGTTCTCCTCAACTTGGCTCAGAGCCTGGCGTGGTTCACCTGTCTCTCTTCCTCAAGTCTCATTACCTTGTCGATTAAGGAATACTTCTTCCCTTTATTCAAATGCCACTGTTTCAGATTTAGGTCAGTGATTAGCGGTCTTGAGACATTTTATGGCCGTTAGTCTTTATGTTCTTATTAAGTTTGTCTCTTTGTCAGATTTACGTTTGACAGACGAGTGGCGTTGGTGTCAGATTTTAGGGTGTAAAGGTGGGTTTATTTGATAATGTGTCTGAAGGCGTTTTGAAGTTACAGACTAACTGCTAATGTTAACAATGACCAAATGGGTTAATGGATGTGAGCTGTGTGGTTACTTATGTGTTAGTCACGCAATAAATAAGATAGGACTCTCTAAAACTCACACACACACACAATCAGATACACACACACACACACACACACACACACACACACACACCACACACACACACACACACACACACACACACACACAACACACACAACACACATACACACACACACGAATCTGTCCTCACAGCATAACGAGAAACAAACCCTTTGTTTATTATTTCGAAACCTTATTTATCATTCATTACGAAATATATATTATTTATTACGAAATATTTATCATTTATTTATTCATTGCGAAACCTCTTCCTCGGCAGATATGGCAGAGCGTGGTGGTGGCGATCTCCGTGCTGGCGCTGGTGGAGTGTCACCTGAAAGACACGAACCCGGATGACACCCTCGTAAGTGACACGGAGGCGAACGACACCGCTTTATACGTTGACACTCTGTTCGCCAACGGAACGTGGGGGAACGAGACCGCGTTTTACAGCTCGCTTGTGAACGACACGTGTAAATGGGTTCCGGAAGCCGAGAGGGAAAGCTTTGGGGTTTATGACCAAAATATGCGTAAGTTTTTCACTCTTTTTCTTTCTTTCTTTAATAGTTTTTGATTTCTAATCTAATTGACGTGAAATATTAGTCCCATTTTTCTTGTGTTATTCAGATGAGGGCAATGGAATTGAAATGTTAAGAGAGAGAGAGAGATGAATACATATAGATATTATGTGAATATTATTGCACTTACTCTCTGCTTAGGAAATAAATTGATATAGTTTATCCTTAAAACATATGAATGTTAATAGAGAAAATGTACTTAAGAGGGGAGACTAAAATATATATATTTTTTTTTTTAAGATAAAATAGTTGTCATAGTTTTCTACAGATAGTAGTTATTTATTTTTAAAAATGGAATAGACACAGCAATTAAACATATTTCTATCTATTAAGAGCAAAGAAACCAAAAGTTTCAAGACAAGATGGAATGTATTAATCTTCTTTCTCTCTCACACAGTCAACGTCGTGGTTGGAGTGATTCTGGCGTTCTCAAGCATATACTGTTTACTCTCCGTGTGTGTCATTGTAGGGGTTTTATGGGTAAGTCTGGCAACACTACAGATACTTGTGGGTTTGGCAACGGTGAGAGATTTTTTTTTTTCTTTTTCTTTTTACGTGCGTTGTGCAGAATGTTTTGTTTTCTTTAAATTGGAATTTGATTTTTTAATGTCTCTCTTCTTGCTCTCGTTCTTCTACTTCCTTTCTTTCTCTCTCTCTCTCTCTCTCTCTCTCTCTCTCTCTCTCTCTCTCTCTCTCTCTCTATATATATATATATATATATATATATATATATATATATATATAAATATATGTATATATGCTATATATATATATATATATATATATATATATATATATATATATATATATATATAATATATTATATATATATATATATATATATATATATATATATACATATATATATATATATATATATATAGTATATATATATATATATTATATATATATATATATATATTATATATATATATATATATAGTATATATACTATATATATATATATATATATATATAATATACTATATATATAATATATATATATATACATATATCTCTTTTTTTACCTTTTGACTCACTTTCCCGAGGACCTGCATTATCATGGACAACCATCCCAGAAAAAAAAATCCCAGAAAATAAAAACAATTGAAAAAAATCCACCTCCATTCCCCTTCCTCTTCTCTTCATCCATCTCTCTTTCTCACCGACCTTCAACTCCATTCATCACAGGAACTTGACCCGGTGACCCTGTTAACATAAGGCCGAGGTGACACTATGTACTGGCAAGCCTCTATCATCCATCATAACACGTCATATTCTGAGCGAGAAACATGCATAGTGAAGACAATTCCTTTTGTATATATGTAGAGCAATATGAATTCATTATATTACATTACATATTATGGATAAAAAAGGGGAAGAAATACAATAATAAAAATACAATAATCAATATAAGGTAAGGAAGGGAGGAGAAAAGGAAGAGGAAGAGGATGACAGAGAGGAAGAAGAAGGGAAGGGAGAAGGAAAGGAAAAGGGAAAGAGAAAGGAAGAGGAAGGGAAGGGAGAAGGGAAAATATACAATAATCGTTACTAAGATGTGTATATATAGCAATATGAATTACGTTATATGATATATCATGGACAAAAACGAAGAAAAAATATATATATTAAATCTCTACTCACGTGGAATGAGAGATAGATTAACCCCAGAAAGGCAGGTGACAGTAGGTTGTAGGAAAGAGTGGCACTCGTCCGTGAAATTCGTATTGGCACTCGTTCAGGTAAGTGTTTTGGCACCTGCACAGGTAAGTGTCATTAGAATGTGATTATTATTCTCTCGGTATGTTACATGTATTTTTTTTGTACATTTGTATATATGTATGTGGGCCAACCTACATGTATATATATATATATATATATAATAATATTATATATATATATATATATATATATATATATATATATATATATATGTATAGATAGATAGACAAATAGATAGATATACATGGATATAGATACACAACACACACACACACACAATATATATATAATATATATATATATAATATATATATATATATATAGATATAGATAGATAGATAGATAGATAGATAGATAGATAGATAGATAGATAGATAGATAGATAGATAGATAGATAGATAGATATAGATATAGATATAGATATAGATATAGACATAGATATATAGATAGATAGACAGATAGATATATAGATATATAGATAGTTAGATAGATAGATAGATAGGTAGATATATTCGCATTCGTATACCCATGTATAGCTATAGGCATCCCAAGTATACATATCAGTATATGCATGTGTTGTATATGAGTATGTGTGTGCGTATGTTTGTGGTCCTGGAAAATATCGGTGACACCAGACAGCGGCCCTCAGTCTGCCGATGACCTGTTCGGACCGACAGCAGTTCGGTGACCTCAGGTCGATTGCCTTCGGTTCACCTTATGAGGTCGACCGTGGTAGCACTTTCCGGTCTTCGCTCCTTCTATCCGATATAACGTAATATAATGTATCATGATATGATATGATACTATGCAGTGTAACATTTGATATTTCTCTCCCTCTCCCATCCCTTCCTCTTCCTTTCTCTTTCCTCCTTCTTCTTATTCATCCTCTCCCTCTTCCTTTCCTTCTCCCTTCCCCTCTTCTTCCTCTCTGTCACCCTCTTCCTCTCCCTTCCCTTCCTCTTCCTTTCTCTTTCCATTTTTCCCTTTATCCATCTTCTCCCTCTTCCTTTCTTCTCCCTTCCCCTCTTCTTCCTCTCTGCTTCCCTTCCTCTTCCTTTCCTCTTTCCTCTTTCTTCCTCATCCTCTCCCTCTTCCTTTCCTTCTCTCTTATCACCCTCTTCCTCTCCCTTCCCTTCCTCTTCCTTTCTCTTTCCATTTTCCTCTTATCCATCTTCTCCCTCTTCCTTTCCTTCTCCCTTCCCCTCTTCTTCCTCTCTGTCACCCTCTTCCTCTCCCTTCCCTTCCTCTTCCTTTCTCTTTCCTCTTTCTTCTTATTCATCCTCTCCCTCTTCCTTTCCTTCTCCTTCCCTCTTCTTCCTCTCTGTTCTTCCTCTGTCCCCATCTCTCTGTTCTCTCTTCCTCTTTCCCTTCCTCTTCCCTTTCCCTCTTTCCATCCTCTCCCTCTTCCTTTCCTTCTCCCTTCCCCCTCTTCTTCCTCTCTTCATTCTTTTTCCTCTCCTCTCCCTCTTCCTTTCCTTCACCCTTCCCCTCTTCTTCCTCTCTGTCATCCTCTTCCTCTTCCTTTTCTTCTCCCTTCCTTACCTTACGTGTTTCGCATAAGAGTGAATGGGGGAATAACTATTATATGTTAAATGTATTGATAACTCTGGACCCGTGATTCTGTCTCCAGCAATCAACTCATTTTTGTTAAATATCATTCACATAAATATTATTTACTATTATTGAAAGTGAAGCGATGAATATTCTCTCTCTAGGGACTTGACTTGAGTCCGAATCCAAGTCCTTCGGAGTCAAGTCCTCGGTGTGGACTTTTTGGACTTTGTTCCTGAACGACACTCGACGTACGTATCAACACACAAGAACAAACTGACACACAGCCTCCTTTCCCTCCCTTAGCACTCGCCGAGGCTGCTGCAAGGCTGGGTCGCGTTCACGGCCCTGTACATGCTGCTGACCCTCGCTGACCTGCTCATCACCCTCCCGTTCACCACCCTGCTCCACCTCCTCTGCTGCATCACCCAGTTCGTCGTGTCCCTGTACGTGTGGGCGGTGGTCAAGTCGTACATGCACGTGCTCAAGGTCGCCAAGAGGAAGCCCCCCGTGCCCGAGGAGGAGCGCACGGACTACACGGTGAACGGCGTCGACCTCCAGCAGGAGCCCGTGACGGTGTGACGACGACCCTGCCGGACGGGGGGGTGGGGGGGGGGGATGATCAGTTTTTGTCGCTGGATTTTCTTATTATTTTGTAACGTGCTGTTGAAAGTTCTTTTTTTATCTCTTCTTATCGTTTTATAGGCATTTCTTATCCTTGTTTGAAGACATTCGTAATGTCTTGTTCTAGTGTCGTTTTTAAATGATTGGCCTTTTCTTGTTTTATACTATTTTTAATCATGTGCAGCGCTAGGATGTTTTTTTTCTTTTGTGCCAGTCCAAAATTTTTCGTCTTTCGTTATGGAGGGGGCTAAACTCTTTCTCTTTCTCTCTCTCTCTATCTATCTATCTATCTATCTATCTATCTAGTTATCTATCTCTCTTATAAAATAGGCGGTGCAAAAATATTTTTATAACATTTTTACGTCAATTGTCAATGGATTCTAGGATACTAGTTGCGCCAGCTTGATTTCCCTGTAGGATTGGCTTGAACTTTAATAAGGGGCGTCATAAGGTACATTTTCCAATGCAAAATCCCATAAAATCTACTTGGAAATGCAGAAGAAACATTATTTATAACTGATATTATTGATAAGTGATGAAAACCTTTTTAGATGTTTTCGATGTTCACTTCACGTTATTTATCTTAATCAGGTTGTACTGTATTCGTTATGCAGCTCGATGTGTTGCGTGTCATAATGTATCTGTTTTATTATTGTTATTTACTTGTTTAACGTAAAATCTGGAAAATGGTGTTGCCAGATATTATCATCCAATGATTTTTCGTCATAATTAATTAAATGTCTGTTGTTATTTTAATTGTTTTGCGCATTGTAAGTGCAATTTACTCGTCATATTTCACACCTAGGCGTGATTTTGTATATACATAAAATATACATAAAAAGGGTTACATTTATACACTACATGTATGTACGTATATATGTTTGTGAATGAATAAATTGCTAAATAAATACGTAAAATTGTATTTGTTAATCTTGTTTTGTTTCGCCTATATGTATTATACGATGCCCGATGCACTCACATAAGAGCAGAAATACACATAACATACGGATTCATATTAAATGGCTGTATAATTGTTCACTTATTTATGGTTTTATTTTCTGTTTTCATGTTTTTTTTTCTGTCGTTTGTTTTAATCTGCTGAAAGGTAATAATGATGTTTTTATTCATATAGTTTTCGAACTTTTTTTCATTATTTCGTTTCATAGTTTATCATATACAAATATATCTATATATCTATATCTATATATATCTATATCTATCTATCTATCTATCTATATATATATATGTATATATATATATATGATATATATAGATATATTATATATGTACATATATACATATACATGTGTGTGTGTCGGTGTGTTTGTATGTGTGTGTATATATATTCTTTTCTTTGTCTCTGTAGAGATAACCTGAAAATCACGATTGTACGTTTATATCTCTATTCCCATGATAGACATTCATTACAACCCAGTAGAATATTTCACCGCTTCCATTCGTATGAAAAATAGATATGTTTAGTGATTCTTCGGATATATAATATTTTTTTTTTTTTTTTTTTTTTTTTTTTTTTTTTTTTTGATATGCAATTTCATACAAAATGCTATTTTTGGCATTGATTCTTGCAGTGCCACACGTTCTTTTTCTTTATTGCGATGAAGTATATAATTTGTCAAGATAATCAGAAATAATTATATTTCTAAATCATATAATTCTAACACAAAACACGGGAATTGGGAGGGACCATAAGAATAAAAGACAAAGAAAAAAAATCAGTTATCTATTTAAAACACATTTTAATCTCCTGTAATAAAACGGAATATAAAGATCTCGATATAACAAATGTAGAAAAGATATGAATGAGAATAAGAAAAAAAGTTTCGATAATCTATCTGTTTCTATGTTTCTTTTCATGTTTATTAAAAATACGTGATTCATAACATGTATTGTCTAAAAAAAACATTAAAGGTCTATTATACAAAATCGGAAAATTCTATCTCATTCACAATATTTTCACACAATATACAAACTACCTCTCAGTTTCGCCTTATATAAAAGAAACATAAATCTTCTATTTATATCAGGTACTAACAAGTATAAAATCTTTACTGTATTAACCCTTCAACATTATATATCCAGTCTTAAAAGATATGCACTAAATTATCACATTATCCAAATAATACGGTGATGCTAATAAAGAACAAATAGATTTATAAAGTGATGGATGTAACATTGGTGAGTGAATGTGTTTTTGACGATAATGGAAACAATAATGGTTTCGTGATGTTTTTTTTTGTAATTTCATATGCATTATTATTGCTCTCACTTCTATCAACGAATATAACAAAGGGTGATTACTGTGTATTCAACATATGTAGACTCACTATGTACTTTCTACAGTCCGCATTTCGTCAGTTTTATCAGATCCTTTCACCATCCACTACAACATATCTTCTTCATCAGTCTACCCGTAAATGTCATTTCCTCTAACTCATAGAAAACGGAGTCCACCATAGAAAACGGAGTACATCTCGCACAAACTATTCCAACTATCCACGCACGTTCACCTCACTGACTTCATTTCCATGTGGACATTCGAAACCCCGTTGGCTTCCGTGGTGATGTCAGCGCACCTATTGTCCAAGCCTTCTTTGACATCGTAAGTAACGTTTTCCACGCTGTAACTCCTCTTCGGGAAGAATCTGTCGCAGAGCCATCGGTAGAAGGACAGGCATCTCTTGTTCACTAAACTCTCATCTGTCTCATCTGGCCTTCGAGCGCCTGCCAAGAGGAGGGGGAGAAAGCGGTTACTGGGGAGGAGTTTTTTAGTTTTATTAGAGGGAGGAGGGAGGGAGGGAGGGAGGGAGGGAGGGGGAGAGGGAGAGAGAGGGAGAGGGAGAGAGGGAGAGGAGAGAGAGAGGAGAGAAGAGAGAGAGGAGAGAGGGAGAGAGAGAGAGAGGGAGAGAGAGATGGAGAGAGAGAGAGAGAGAGAGAAGAGAGAGAGAGGGAGAGAAAGAGGAGGGAGAGAGAGAGAAGAAAGAGAGAGAGAGAGAGAGAAGGGAGAGAGAGAGAGAGAGAGAGAGAGAGAGAGAGAGAGAGAGAGAGAGAGAGAGAGAGAGAGAGAAGAGAGAGAGAGAGAGAGAAGAGAGAGAGAGAGAGAGAGAGAACTGAAGACAGGTGAGTCGCTATTAATAACAATAATGATAACAACAAACTAACAAACAGTAGTAGTCGAGGTTGGTATAGTAATCGCAATTTTATTAGTTGTGGTAGTAATAGAAATAATAATAACAGTAATCACAATCACAATAATAATAACTATAACACCAATCAACACCAACAGGACTCCCGAACACATCCTGACCCAATAGAACGTCCCACCTGTTAGAACGGACACTACAGTAGACACAGTGAGGACGACCAGCATTCCTATGGCACCCACGTAGCAGTAGGAAACGTCATAGAGAGCGATGTAGTCTCTGTGGGAGAAGGGGCTTTGTGTTAATATCTGTGTTATTAGAGGGGGATTGTGTTAGTATATGTGTTATTGGACTGTGTGTCATTAGAGGGGACTGTGTGTGTGTCATTAGAGGGGGACTGTGTTAGTCATTAGACTGTGTGTCATTAGAGCATTAGGGGGACTGTGTGTCATTAGAGGGGGACTGTGTGTCATTAGAGGGGGACTGTGTGTTAGAGGGGACTGTGTATTAGAGGGGGACTGTGTGTTAATATCTGTGTCATTAGAGGGGGACTGTGTGTCATTAGAGGGGGACTCTGTGTTATTAGAGGGGGACTCTGTGTTAACAGAAGGGGACCTTATTAATAGAAGGGGCTTTGTGTTAATATCTGTGTTAATAGAGGGGATTCTATGTTAACGGAGGCTTTGTGTTAACAGAAGGGGGCTTTGTGTTAATAGAAGGGGGCTCTGTGTTAATATGTGTTAATTGAAGAGGTCGCTGTGTTAATAGAAAGGGACTGTATTAAGAGAAGGGGGCTCTGTGTTAATAGCTGTAGGTATGTATTTGAGTAACTTTTGCTCTTTAAATTATTACAAATGGTTAACGTTTTGAACAAATTGTGGTACTAGATATCAAAGGTCGTATGGCAGTTATTACAAAGAGGGAGAGCATTAAATAAAACTTTGAGTAAATTTGCGGAGGTGTAATAATGGATATATTGGTCTTTAAGTACTACTGGTTGTTGAATAAAGAGTATTCTTTGTACTAATCTTGTTATAATAGATAATAGGTAGGTAGAGAGAGAGAGAGAGAGAGAGAGAGAGAGAGAGAGAGAGAGAGAGAGAGAGAGAGAGAGAGAGAGAGAGAGAGAGAGAGAGAAGAGTAGAGAGAGAGAGAGAGAGAGAGAGAGAGAGAGAGAGAGAGAGAGAGAGAGAGAGAAGAGAGAGAGAGAGAGAGAGAGAGAGAGAGAGAGAGAGAGAGAGAGAGAGAGAGAGAGAGAGAGAGAGAGAGAGAGAGAGAGAGAGAGAGAGAGAGAGAGAGAGAGAGAGAGAGAAAAGGCAGACACACAAACAAAACATCGACAGGCCCGGAAGGAACTATAAACAACTGCCCCCTCAAAATTGCCTCCAATGATCTCACAACCCAACAATCTAAAAAGAAAAGAAGAAGAAAAAAAAAAAAAAAAAAAAAACACTCATCCACACCTCCTCCCAACACTCACCTCTCCTCAATCAGCTGATCCCCGGGACCAGCAGTCGTCGTGGTCGTCGTCGAGAAGGCCACATAATCCGTGCCATTGATAGCGAGCCCCGTCCCGTTCACCGCCCCCCCCAACAACACGTCCTCTGCCAAACAACCGTCCGTCGAAAGGGTTAATTTCTCGCTCTTCCCGGCACCGTGGACGAACTTTCCTCCCACGATCCACAAGTTAAAGGCCAGAGCCGAGACGAAGCCCGCTAAGGCGCCCTGGGGAGGAGAGGAGGAGACCAGGGGTGAGCCGTGAGGAAAACACTAAGCTGGCTGGATCGATGGGCTTGGCAACAACGAGAGGGAATGACATAACGCTCAGGGGGGTAATCCTTTCGATCCTGTGAGGGCTGTGAGGGCTGTGAGGGTAGGTTTTGCTCCAAATGAGGCAGGTTCATCAAGGTGACGAGGCATTGCAGCACTTTTTCGTTTCCTTTAATGGTCTTGTTATGTTGTTAGTACGTTTGTATAAGAATAAGTCATCTGTATAAGATCTTTGAAAAAATAAAATCCATTTACTTCATTTTATTTTATTACAACATTTGACAGAAATTTGCTAAGTGATATGAGTTACTCTGATTTTGCTTTGTATGATATAATGCGTTTTCTGATTTTGCATATAAATGATGCCGGGAGATTTAGCTAAAGCCTTGGGTGAATCAAAATATCTGATAACTGAAGATCATTATCATTATCCTTTCCACTTCTAATTTCATCACTAATTATCAAAATGATCATGATTCTAATTACTTAGTTAACATACAAATAGCAGTCATATAATTAGGGCTTACTCTAGAGAGAACACGGAAAGAACACTGCCACGCGATCAGAATTTAGCTGCACAAAATTAATATTGAAATTACACTGCCCTACAATTAGAATTTACATGAGAGCAGAAATTCCTAAACAGGGTACGTACATTCGCGATCCAATCCTAATGTCTAATCTAATTTCATTCATATATACCTAAGCAATTATTCATTTCATTATAGAGCTTGATTTTCCGTATTCACATAACTTTAATTCCAGTGGTATTGCTATTTAATGTGTACTTTTCAAAATCAAAACAAAAACATTAAACTAAAATTGAATGAGATATGGAAGTGACTAAAGTTTGGAGATCACTTTGTTGAGAATATGAAAGTAATATTATTATATCAATAGAACTTACTTTTTAATGAACAAAGACACAGACATTGTTCTGTAATTAGCTCTTACCAAACAGGAGCTTATAGAACATAAAAATGACATTATCATATAATTAACACTTACCTCAGATTCATTATCAAAATAACGTTATCAAACTCTTGCAACTTGCCTTCGCATTAACAACAAAAAGAAACATTTCCACATAACCTCAGCTTACCATAAAAGACAATAAAAAAAAAACATCACATACTACCCACTCACTTTAGACACAACAAGAACAACAACACTTTCATTTCAACCATCACTTAAGCGTCGATATACATAAAAAAGAGTATCATTATGAAAATCGTCAACACTTACCTTTGCGTTGACCCAAGGAGCCACTATTCCTGTTAAGAAGAGACCGTCCATGGGGCTAACCAGAGCGCCACTGATACTGTAGGCGACTTGGAATAAGGTGCCGAGGTTGGCGACCAGGAAAGCCATGCCGATACTCAGGAGACCCATGCAGGAGGCTGGGGGTGAATATGTGGGTTTTGAGGGGTCTGTGTATTCAGGTAAGGTCGGTTTGTATATTCTAAGTGTGTTGGAAGGTAGTTGGAAGTTTGAGGGATTGTGGGATACTGATTTCTCTCTCTCTCTCTCTCTCTCTCTCTCTCTCTCTCTCTCTCTCTCTCCTCTCTCTCTCTCTCTCTCTCTATCTATCTATCTATCTAATTCTATATATTGATCTACCTATCTCGTTCTCTTTCCTATTCATCTTCCCCTTTCTCTCTTCCTCTCCCCCTTCTCTTTCCCTCCCTCTCTCTATTCCTCCAATTCCTTCCCCATTCTCTCTCCTCCTTCCCCTTCTTCCCATCCCCCATTATCCCTTTGCTCCCTCTCTTCCTCCTTCCCTCTCTCCTTCCCTTCTCCTCCCCTCTCTCTCCCTCTCCCTCCCTTCCCCTTCTTTCTCCCCTTTTCCCTCTCCCCCCCTTCCCTTCCTCCTTCCCCTTTTTCCTCTCCCCCCCCTTCCCTTCCCCCTCCCACCCCCATCCCTTCCCTGCACCTCTCCCTCCCTTCCCTTTCCTCCTTCCCCATTCTCCTTCCCCATCCCTTCCCCACCCCCTCCCCCAACACACACAGTATACCCACACAGCATCCGCGTCATCATCTTGGTCTTCTTGTGCGACATGTCTGCGAAGATCCACCAGCCGTTCAGAAAGTCCTCCCACAGAAGCACCACCATTGCGTTGGCTTGGGACGAGAGGGAACTGCAGAGGGAGAGAAACAGGTGGATAAAAAAAAGGAAATGAAATCGTGAGTAAAGGGGTCAGGAGGTGGAGGAAATGGATCAAAGAGTGAGTGGATAATTTAATGGGTAAGTGGATATTTCGGTAGGTGGTTAGAGATTAAGTAATGAATGTATAAGGTATCAATAATGAATGATATAACTGGTAAAAGACTAGAAACTAATTGCATTATGAATGAAAAGGAATAAATAAGTCAGTTAATAAACAAAAAAGGAGTTAATGATAAATATGATATTAGGTGAATGGAAATTAATTAAATAATCTACATAATACAGTAGGTGAACAGAAATGAAGTGGATATTGAATAAATCAGTAGATGACTAGCAATAAATCTATCAATGAGTATATATGCGAGTAAATGAGAAGATACGTGAATTAAAAAAACACCTAAACTAATAAGCAAAAACCTTCACAGATAGATAAACAAATCAATGAATGCCAAATATATTAAATCATGTTTTCAGCGTTCAGGTTTAGGAGAGTCTCCCCGTCAACTGTGTACAGCCTCATAATATTCATCCTATTTTTACGGTAGAGTAGTTAGTAAAAAGTAACAGATTAATAAATAGTTTGACTTACGTAACATCTAAGTAACGTTTCAAGTATAACGTTGTTGTTTTTTTATCTATCAGTGAAATTGGCTAAACAATTTCAAAGATATTCTGACAATACTCTGTAAATAACACGCAGTCATCAAAGAAAACGATATATGAACGATTTCTTTTGGGGAAACTACCGTAAAATTCAGAAATTTCAACACACTTGGAATTTGTTACCGAGAGTGACGCACCTTCCAGAGACGATGGTCCAAAACCAGGGTATCATGCGAACCCTAAACCCAACCTTTCAAACCTTCTATTTGTTTCCTAAACAGGGGGCAAGTTTTCTGAACCCCCATTTATTTCAACAAATATAGAAGACGGACATCAAGAACTTGTGTGTGAGGGTGTTGTGGACTACGTCTTTAAGTGGTGATATGCAGCGAATATTTTCGTCATTCTGCGGTAAATATGAGGACGCTGAAGCTGCACCTGTGTTGTTTATGACTATGTTTATGATCTGTCAGACGAAAGTGTTCATTGCCCTCTACTTCTGTGCGTCGTTCTCGGTAACTTTAACCGGCGCGAGACAAGAAAAGTTAAAGACGAAGAAAACATAATAAACATGACATAAATGAGAAAGTGTGATTTGTAACCTTGTGTTTTACTATTTCGCTAATTTCTGTTTTATCATCCAAGTCTCTGGTAAAGATCTGTCCAAAGTAACATAAAATAACCACAAACCTCTCATCAACCTATCAATAAAAGGCGTAAGTATGAGAAAGCTTTGTTATTGTCTCCTATAAAACACTTCTATTGGTATTACCTAATTTATGGCCTGAGATACTTCTATATCATACCTGAGTTATTCCCACTAACAAATCATAACACAAAGTCGTTAATATAACTTGTTAATAGCTAAATACCTTCTCAGAGTAACACCTATTCATCTTCGAGTACCATAGGCCTACTTACCTACTCACAGGCTCTCCCTTTATCATCTTTATCAAAAGCACTAAAATTACCTATTGAAAGAGGCTCTCATTATAACCTTATCAGAGTCATCCCCTGTAATGTTGTTTCAGTTGGTTTTATTTACATTAGCAATTGCTGGCTGGTGATTCGTCGGGAGCGAGTGGCAGTTGGGCGGAGAGTCGCCACCGAGTCTGGAACGAGGCGGAACGACAGGAATTTACGAGACGAAGCGTTTCCTTACAACATCAAGCTATCTAGACAGCATCGAGCAGTCTTTCGACGTGAGGCTGATCCCAGAGTTTGACGGAAGTGGCAAGCCGTCGGCGGTGGAATGGCTGGAGAAGTTGGGAGCTGGTGTGCAAGCCTCGAGGCGTCGGCGACGTAGCCACGTGATCCCAGTGCGCGTCGCCGATGGAGCTTTCGGCGAGTACCTGTTGCTCTCAGCGTCGGAGAGGAAGACCGCAAGCCAAGTGAAGAGGACGCTGTTGGGCGCGTTCGCCGGGGACACCCACGTGACCCATGAGCTGTTTGTAAACCGGCAGTTGAGAAAGGAGAGAGCTGCCCGGCTGCTTCTCTTCACCAAGGAGAGGGAATTGACGACACCCAGCGCTTCCTTATTCCCTCATTCCCATTAACACCAGCTTCCCTTTTCACAGACACTCTTACCTAATGGAAGTGACCCCCAGGACCGCCAAATGCCCCAACCCCAGCCACGCCCCTTCGCTTCCCCGCCCCGAAGGCCTCCTTACCTCAGCACGGCGCCGGCCACAGCAGCCACGAACACCCCGGTCATCCCAGGCAGGTGGTGGAGTTTGTCGGCGACGAGGAAGGCGAGGATCTGGTCCGGCTTCTCGATCTGGCCGTTGCCTAGGGGGTCGCAGTCCTCGTAGGCGGCGTAGGCGACGAGGCCCGAGAGGTAGAAGAGAGACCACAGGAGGATGAGGCCGACGACGAAGGCGATGCAGAGCCTGGGAGGAGGAGGAGGAAGGTGAAGAGGGTTGTGATATGGTGTGAATTGTAATTATTATGACTATTGTTGTTGCTATTTCATAATTTATCCTTTTATTAATTCATTCTTTTACAATTCTTCATTGAGATTATTCTATATTCTTAGAGGTGGAGTCCACTGAGCTTTTTTTACTTCCTTTCTTTTTTAATTTCTAATCGGATTCCCTAATCAGCCCAACAGCATACAACACTACAAAGGAGAATGAGGAACAAGAAGACTCCTCCAAGTGCGCTTCGTAGCTCCACACCGTCGCACAAGCAACCAACCAACCCAACCACATTCCGACCAAACCTTACGACGCACACGAAACCAACCACACAAATCACTGCAAACGAACTACCGACAAAATCTGCAACAAACACTTAATCACGCAATTGCAGGAGACTCACATTTGCGATATCCTGAGAGTCTTGACGGACACGAGCCTCTGGTACTGCGGCTGCGAGATCCCGATGGTGCTGACGAAGAAGTAGAGGCCGAGGACCTGCACCGACCAGAAGGTGTGGCGCACCAGGGGGTTCGGGTCGAAGCTGTCGGGGGAAAATAGAAATACGTAGATAAGTATATAAAGAAATGAATAAGTAAATAAATAGATAAGTCCATGAATAAATAGGTAAATGAATGAATAGATGTATACATAGATGATATATAAGGATATTAATAATGGCATAAATGTACAAACGGCATCAATCTAAATGATATTTTCACAGTTGTCAACGTCATGGAAAGACTGGAAAATTTTAAGATATATAAACAAACGAATTAACAACAAATGTAATATATAATAAGGTTAATCATAGCACAAACGAGTTTCACACTGGTAAAAAAGCCATGGAAAAACAATTCAAAACAAACAATCATAAACACCAGAAGAAAAAAAACGAGTACCATAAACAAAAAAAAAAACAAAAGAACATCAACAATTCCCCTCCAACCCGACTTCGATCCTCTCCGAACCTACTTGAAGAAGTCGATCCGATTTCCTTCGACGGCTCGACTCCACACCTCGTCTAGGCCTCCGAGATCGACGCACACTTGCATGACGACAGCCAGGACGCCCACGAACATGACGGTCGTTTGTAGGACGTCTGTGTACACCACCGCCCTCACGCCGCCCTGGGGAGAGGAGAGGCTGGGTTGTTCAGTCATGGACAGAAGGAGAGTTGGGAGGGGAGGGGAGGGTGCCATCTAGGGGTGGGGGGAGAGGGATTGGGATTAGGGAGAGAGAGAGATAGAAAGAGGGAGAGTGAGAGAGAGAGAAAGAGAAGAAATAGGGGAGAGGAGACTGGGAAAGAATGGGAGAGAGAGTCAGACAGATAGACCGACCACAGAGAGACAGAGAGAGAAGAGATAGAGACAGACATATAAATACATATAGAGATAGATATAGATACATATATACATACATATCCAAATACATACCCCCACCTAACACCCAACGCCTCCGCCCATCTTCACCCCGCCGCCCACCGCAAAATAACGTACCAGAGAAATATACACGGAGCAGATGACGCCCAGAGAGACGATGGCCACCCACATGGGCAGTTTGGTGACGGAACTGAGGGTGAGCGAGGGCGCGTACAGACAGATGCCCAAATAAAACCGCTGTGACGAGCTGTGTCATGGACCCAGCTTCCTCAATTGTCGAGTCGAAGCGGAGTTGAAGTACTGCGAGGGAGAGAGGAGAGTGGTGTTGGTGTTATGTGGGAAGGCGGTAGAGGGAAATAAATGTGGGGGGAAGAGTGGATATATTGTCGTTGTGTGTGTGTGTGGTGTGTGCGTGTGTGTGCGTGTGTGTGTGTGTGTGTGTGTGTGTGTGATGTGTGTGTGTGTGTGTGTGTGTGTGTGTGTGTGTGTGGTGTGTTGTGTGTGTGTATAATAAAGATACACAAAACATAAAATACAATACATACATACATATCCGAAAAAAAGAATATATTATATATATATATAATAATATGTATGTATGGGTATATACGTAGAAAAAGTGAAAACGAATAAAATAAACATAAAAAAACAGCGAATGGGACTCTTAAATCATTACAAATACTGCAAAACTATTTGGCATGAAACACATTGCTTGGCTAATTAGTCACGTTTATGTTTTGTGTGTGTGTGTGTATGTGCGTGCGTGCGTGCGTGTGTTGTATGCGTATGCGTTGAATTTAACCCCGTATTTACCTCCGAGCATACGAACCCACGTGCACACCCACCCCATCCACGTACAATCCCCACACACCCCATCCCGCCCGCTACCCCGCACGCCCACGCCCCCAACCTCCTCCTCGACTCACTCTCATTCATGGTGGCGAGGCCGAGGGGGTAGAACACCGGCAGGAGGACGGTGATGACGAAGGCGGCGCCGTAGATGCAGCCGAGAAGGTTCATCCACAGTTGCGTCCCGTACAGGTAGATTTCTGTGGCGTTGCCTGCGGGGAGGGGCGGGGTTTATGGTGTGTTGTGTGGTGTGGTTGGGAGGGAATGATGGTGTTGGTTGTGTGTGGTTGGGAGGAATGGTGTGTGGGTGTGGTGGGAGGAAATGGTGTCGGTTGAGGTTGTGGTTGGGGGAGGAATGATGGTGTTTGTGGTTGGGAGGATATGGTGTCGGTTGAGGTTGTGGTTGGGAGGATATGGTGTCGTGTGTGGTTGTTTGGGAGGAAATGGTGTCGTGTGTGGTTGTGGTTGGGAGGAAATGGTGGTGTTGGTTGTGGTGCTTCTGGTGAGGCGGTGTCAAGGTTGTACTACACTTGTAATGTTACCATTAATATTATATATACTGTATATCATGATTACATATTGTATACATGTATGTATGCTTTTATGTATGTATGTAGAGAGGGTATGAATGGGAAGTAATGTTTTCATAATACGAGAGATGTACACATACTACAGAGCATAGTATATATATATATATATAATATAATATAATATATATATATATATATATATATAATATATATATATATATATATATATATATATTTAGACTCGGACTGATATCTATCTTTTTTCGTGTATTTCTGACGAAGATGTATTCGAAACCGGTCAAATACATCTGCTTTGAGGAAATATTTGTTCCCATTCATATATCTCCTATATTTGTCGCTGCGTCATGTAGATGTATCTATCACACATACACACACAAACAAAAACACACTCACCTGTGTGTGTATGTGTTTGTTTGTGTGTATGTATGTATATATATATACACACATTATATATAATGTGTGTGTGTGTGTGTGTGTGTGTTGTGTGTGTGTGTGTGTGTGTGTGTGTGTGTGTGTGTGTGTGTGTGGTGTGTGTGTGTGTGTGTGTATTTCTGACGAAGATATAATCGAAACCGGTGAAATACATATCTTGAATTGTGAAGATATTCGTTCTCATTCATACCTTCCACAATACACACACACACACACACACACACACACACACACATATATATATATATATTATATATATATATATATATATGTATGTGTGTGTGTGTGTGTGTGTGTGTGTGTGTGTGTGTGTGTGTGTGTGTGTGTGTGTGTGTGTGTGTGTGTGTGTGTTTGTTTGTGCTTGCACTCGTGTATGTAAATAGGGAGATGGACAGGTACAACCAAAGATAGAGATTCCCAGCCCACGTCTAAGATTCATCTATCCTTACAGAGGGACAGACAAAAAAAAATAGACAAGTAGATAGATAGAGATACAGACAGACGAGACGAGGGAAAAAATCGCCATACCAGCAGACGAGCGAAGAGCCCAAGGGTTGCAATGCAAAAAGGGCCTCTGTCAGCAACTCTTCGGATCTGATGCAACACCAAAACAACTTTCATTGCAAAAAAATGTAAAATAATGTTCTCGACTTCCTGTTGCACTTTTATTGTTGTTATCATTCCTTTTTATTGTTGTTTTATTCCCTCGTCTTCCTTATCTTTTAATCATGAGTTTAATTTATTTTCTTAAATCTTCACAAACACGATTTTATGAATCGCAGCTAACCGTCCAAAAAATAAATTTATTCAAACGAAGTAACACTACTAAAATAAAATATTAAAAAAATTACAAAGACAGATAAATCAATAAAAATATGAGCAATTATACATATTATAACTTTCAACAACACCCGACACTTCATCACAAAAACACACCACAACATACTAACACCACACCATCACCAACACCACACCACACCACACTTTCACAACACACACCACACCACTTACCCAGGACGGCACCCAACACACACTAACAACACACCATCACCACCACACACTCCACACCAACACCACACTAACTACACTCACCAACACCAACACCACTTACCCAGGACGGAGAGCGCCGACACGACGCCCCCGAGCAGAGACAGCACCACCGCCACAGGGTTCATGCTCCGTCCCCCCGTCAGGAAGTCCTTGGCGTCCCTCTTGCCGCTGCGCCACCCCGACAGCGTCCCCACCAGCAGCGACGCCAGCAGGAGGAGGACGAAGATGGCGTAGTCGACGGTGGAGAAGCGGCTGAGGGTGGCCAGGGTGGTGGAGGAAGAGGAGGTGGAGGTGGAGGCGCCGATGGTGGAGTTGACGAAAGCCATGGTGGGCGGAGGATGGGTTGGAGGGCGCTTCTCTCGGCTGTGGGAGGGGGGAGGGGGGAGAGGGGTTAGAGTCAAGTGGAGGTTCTTTGAAAAAAGTATCTGCAATATATATTTGTCGATTTGCACTACTTTGAACACATATATAGACTACGTATGTATATTTTTAGTATGTGCGTGCTTTGTGCGTGCGTGTGTGTGTGTGTGTGTGTGATTGCATGTGTGTATGTAAGTGTTTATGCCTGTGTGTGTACGTGCGCGTGTATATGTACATAATAGACAGCTAAAAAATAATAATAATAATAATAAAAAGGACAAATGCGAAGGAGAGGAAGAAAGGAAAAAAATCAAAAGAAAAAAGGCTCAAGAACCAAAACAGAATCAAAGGAAGAAAAGAAAGGAAAGAGAGGAGACAAAAAAAAAAAAAAACAAGAAAGAAAGGAGACAAAACAAACGTGTGGAATCGGACGCAAACGAAAGGGGGGATAGAGGAGAGAAGGACAAAAAGGTCAAAAAAGTCCTTCGAAGATTGGAGGAGAAGGCAGGAAGGACACCATGAAAGAAGATTTTATCAAAGTGTATTTTGAGGCAAAGAGAATATTTGAGGTTTATGTGGCAGGAAAGTCAGGAAAATTATATAAAGGAAAAAGTGACAATAAAAGGAAAATGGACAGAATGAGAAGAGAGAGAGAGAGAGAGAGAGAGAGAGAGAGAGAGAGAGAGAGAGAGAAGAGAGAGAGAGAGAGAGAGAGAGAGAGAGAGAGAGAGAGAGAGAGAGAGAGAGAGAAAGAGAGAGAGAGAGAAGAGAGAGGATGAGAGAGAGAGAGAGAGAGAGAGAGAGAGAGAGAGAGAGAGAGAGAGAAAGAGAGGAGAAGGATTGGAAAGGATTGGGATTAGCCAGACAAAGGGACAGTAGGGAAGGATGGTACACAAGGAAAGGGCGATGAAGAGTGGATGAACAAAGAAGAAGATGAAAGAGAGAGGAAGAGAAAGAGAGAGGGGGGCAGAATAGACAGATAGACAAAATCAGAGCTGTTACATGATATAGAGAGGAGGGTGGATAACGCCGTATAATAGATAACGAGCAAGAAAAAATATATATAAGCGGTCCCTATAGATGGTAATCCACAGGAAGCGTAAAGACCTGTAAAAGTGACGGTGCAGGTTTCTACAAGGCTGCTTCACAAAATCTTAGAAATTCTTGGGGCAAAATGAAATGAACCAAAAAATAGTGGTGAGAGAGAGAGAGAGAGAGAGAGAGAGAGAGAGAGAGAGAGAGAGAGAGAGAGAGAGAGAGAGGAGGAGAGAGAGACAGAGAGAGAGAGAGAGAGAGAGAGAGAGAGACAGACAGACAGACAGACGGAACAGACAGACAGACAGGACAGAGACAGACAGACAGAGCAGCGAGAGAGAGAGAGAGAGAGAGAGTTAGAGAGAGAGAGAGAGAGAGAGAGAGAGAGAGAGAGAGAGATGAGAGAGAGAGAGAGAGAAGAGAGAGAGAGAGAGACAGACAGACAGACAGAATAGACAGACAGACAGACAGACAGACAGAGAGAGGAAAGAGAGAGAGAGGAGAGAGAGACAGACAGAACAGACAGACATAGGACAGAGAGAGAGAGGACTGAGAGCGCGAGATAAGAGAGAGAGGAGTAGAGATAGAGAGAGAGAGAATGATGGAGTTGCACTGAGAGGAGGAGAGAGAGAGAGGAGGAGAGAGAAGAGGAAACAGAGAGACAGACAGACAGACAGGAGAACAGGGACAGAATCAGAAGACAGACAGAAACAGGGACAGACAGACAGGACAACAGACACACACGACAGAGAGAGAGAGAACAGAAAAAAAAGAAAAAAAAATAAACCAAAAGAGAAAAATAAGCAGGCAAACAACAAAAAAAACACAAAAATAAAAAAAAATACACAACAATCAAGAAAGCAAAAAAAAAGAGAGAAAAGAATGAAAACACCAACGCAAAAGAAGAAGAGGAAGAATACGAAACGAAGAACAAGAACAGAATATGAAGAGAAGAGAAGAGAACAAACAAAATAATGAAAAGAACAGAAAAAGCAAAAAAAAAATAAACGCAAACGAAGAGAAACGAAGAAAAGAAACAAAAACAGCAGGAGAAAAAAGAGAAGAGAGAGTGAAGAGAGAGAAAAACCACCCTACGAGAAAGAGAAAGAGAGAACCGAGAGAGAGCAGATAAAAGAATAAGAAAACGACATAAATTGAAATCACAGAGGAGCAATGAGCTGACCCGGCCACGAGCAACACTAGGACTCTATAAAAGAGGAAACGTATAATATTATCCTAGAAGAACAAAAAATTCACAACAGAGACGAAAGCACAATAATGTTCATATTATGATGTATGATAAAACTCTATATATACTAAAAGACAAATTACACAAGAAGCTGATAGGAATCCCGCTAATAGAAAGACTATATGCAAACAACACGCAAAAGAGGTCACAGAGAATAAGGATCCAATGTATTGCGCCAATTAAGGAGATGGCACACAAAGTATGACAAGGTTGGCGCAGCCGAAATGGTTTATTAGCATAAATAGGGATTTACAGGGATGTTGGCAGGAATCCACAGGAGGGATCAAGGCGGAAGGTGAGACTGACACGCCAAGGACGGAGGCTGTTAGTCCATATGCTTGCACAAAACTAGGAAGCTGGAATAGGTAGCGCGGACCGTCTCCATTGCGTTATGAACACTCTGAACCCATCGGACTCAACCACTAAGATGAGAGAGGGGCACCAATAGCCCGAGAGCACGCGGCACAGCGACGAGGAGAGGAGAGGAAGGACGAGGCGAGAGAAGGGACAGAGGAACAGGGAGGCAGAGAGAAGGATCGAGGAGCACGGGGAAGGAGAGCCACGCAGAGAGAGAGAGCAGAACGGAGAGAGAGCGGAAGAGAGCGAGAGGAGGCGGGCAAAGGACAGCCGCCTGGGACACACATGCAGGCGCCGCAAACCCATGGAAGAGGAAGAGGAGAGCGGGATAAGCGAGCAGGAAATGGAGGAGGGGAAGGAGAGGAGAGGAGAGGGGAAGGAGAGGAGAGCCGCCCAGAGCCTCACCGCGGACAGGAAGAGGAGATGGAGAGGGACAGCCCCGGAGAGGACGAGGAGAGCCGGGAAGCGCGATGAGGAGAGGAGATTGCGAGGGGAAGGAGGGAACAGGGGAGGAGAAGGGAAGGAGAAGGAGAGGAGAGGGGAAGATACGCATAGAAAGACGGGTAATATACATGAGAGAAAGGGTGAATAAAGCTGGTAGATATAAGGATAGAAAGACGGGTAATATACATAGAAAGGGTGAATAAAGCTGGGAGAAATAAGGCAGAGTGCAACACTGTGTTGAAGGGTGAATGTCGCGGCAACAAAGTGTAGAGGCCTGTAGAAGTAGATGATTTTAAATACTTGGGGTACACCGTTTGATGTACGGGAGAGCGTGATAGAGAGGCGACGGAGAGAGCGAAGTGAGTGGGGAAATAATGACAGGAGAGATGTATGATAAAAGAGACGGAAGAAATTTTAGAAGACGGTAGTGAGGATGTGTGATAGAAGAGAGAGAAGAAAATTTAGAAGACGGTAGTGAAGATGTGCGATAGAAGAGAGAGAGAAGAAAAAAATAAAAGTCAGTGAGGATATGTGGAAGAAGAGAGAGAAGAAAAATTTAAAAGACAGTGAGGATATGTAGTGAGTGAGGATATGTGGTAGAAGAGAGAGAGAAGAAAAATTTAAAAGACAGTGAGGATATGTGGTAGAAGAGAGAGAGAAGAAAAATTAAAAGACAGTGAGGATATGTGGAAGAAGAGAGAGAAGTAAAAGACAGTGAGGAATGGGAAGAGAGAGAGAAAAAAATTAAACAGTGAGGATATGTGGTAGAAGAGTATCCAAAGCAAAATGATAAGAAAATTGTAGTAGACGGTAGAAAGATGCAGTTCTATAGCTTAGAGGCGGAGGTAGAGGTAACAAGGTGCTATGAACATCTAATTAGGGGTGACGAGGATGAAACGGGACTAAAAGTGCGTTTGTTAGAGGGACAGCGCAGGTGGAGGGGACTGGAGGAGGGGAGAGAGAGAGAGGCGAGAGAGTAAGAGGAGGAAAAGAGGAGGAATATAGAGGTTTATGGATATGAGAGGGATGACATGAAGGTGAATGGTGTGACAAAGGAAGGTACAGAGGATGTGCTTGTGTGTGTGTGTGTTGTGTGTCGCGTGATGTGTGTGTGTGTATGTGTGTATGTCTGTTTATGTGAGTGTGTTTGAGTGCGTGCGTGTATCTTTACATAGAACATCCATGACACTTCCTATTCCCTTATTTATGAATAATAATGTGTCTTCTTGCTGAAAGGTATTTGTTTTATTGCACAACTGGCAACTCAGGTCTGACGAGGAAAACCGGAGAAAGAAAATTGTTTGCCAGTCTACTCTGCACTTTCTGAGGGGAGTGAATTTTCTGTTCTCTCTCTCTTCTCTCTCTCTCTCTCTCTCTCTCTCTCTCTCTCGTCTCTCTCTCTCTCTCTCTCTCCTCTCTCTCTCTCTCTCTCTCTCTCTCTCTCTCTCCTCTCTCTCTCTCTCTCTCTCTCTCTCTCTCTCTCTCTCTCTCCTCTCTCTCTCTCTCTCTCTCTCTCTCTCTCACTCTCACTCTCACTCTCTCTCTCTCCTCTCACTCTCACTCTCTGCTCCCTCTTCCCTCTCCCTCTCCCTCTCCCTCTCTCCTCTCTTTAGAAAAAAGAGAGAGAGAGAGAGAGAGAACGTAAAAAGGGTTCAGAAAGCGCGTTCTCTCTCTTCTCCCGAATTACCCACGGTTGTTGTGATCAGCTCCTGACATTGATTCTTTCAGAAAGTAACTTGCACTTGTGTTGAAAGGAATTCTGGGGACCGTAGAAGACAAAGAGCGGGCGGATCAAAGCTGAGAGCGTGCGTGCATGCGTGTGTGCCAACTTCACACACACATAGAGACACACAAAAAAAAAACCCTACACACATATATATATATATATATATATATATATATATATATATATATAGAT